ATATGGAACTCCACAGACACAACTGAATCTAGCATTATTAACTTTAAATTTTTTGAGCCTGCCCAAAAGCCAGATGCTATCAGCAACTGAACAGCATCTACAGAAACCAGCTGCAAAGACAGAAGCAGAACAACTGATTTGGTGGAGAGATCCAATTACAAAAAGTTGGGAAATAGGTAAAATAATAACTTGGGGTAGAGGTTATGCTTGTGTTTCTCAAGACACCTAAAACCTTATCATGAGCCAGATGCTGAGGAAGAGACTCCCGGAGGATCCCGAGGACCCCCCAGTTGCAGCCATATCAAGGCTGACACTGTGGAGGACCCCAACTGTCACGAGCAACACCCGTCGAACACAGCCACCCACCTGGGGACAGATCAAGAAGCTATCACAGATGGCAGAAGAAAACCTGAGGAAAGTGGGACAACCAATCACAATGAATAATTTAATGGTAGCTATGATAGTGGTTATTACCAATGCCATGAGTATTCCTTCAATAAGGGCTGACACAGAGAACAATTATTGGGTATATTTATCAATCTTGGCTGGAAATAATGCCTGGATGCAATCACTCTATGACATAGTTACACATGCTTTCTGATCTCAGTATTTATCATAATAAATCTGCTCCTATAATTGGGGCATACTGCCCTCAAAAACCTATTTGTAAACAGGATTAGACCCAGTTAGAAAAAATGAACGTGCTTGTTTAGGAAGATTGCTTTGCAGAACAGGCAGAGGTGCTGCACAACGATTCCTATGGAATTATTATTAATTGGTCCCCTAAGGGGATGTTTAGCTTGAATTGCACCTCTCAGTCTGTGTGCCATGGCCACACTATATTCAGATGATCTGAACAAAATGGTCGGATGGTAGAAATGATAAGAAGTACGGCAAAAGTTCCTATTATCTGGAAACATGGAGGTATAGTGGCACCTCAACCTCAAATGATATGGCCCACTCTAGGAGCTTAACATGAGAATTTAAAATTAAAGAGCAAATATTTAAAGCATCCCAGGCACACCTGACCTTAATGCCAGGAGCTGGAGTGCTTAAAGGAGCTGCAGACAAATTAGCAGCTAGTAACCCATTAAAATGGATAAAAACACTTGGAAGTTCTGTGATTTCAATGATGATTGTGCTTTTAATCTGTGTTGTCTTTGTATAGTCTGCAGATGTGGATCCTGACTCCTGCAAGAAGTAGCTCACTGTGACAAAGCTGCCTTTGCTTTTATCGATTTGCAAATCAGAGAAGGGGGATGTGTTGGGAGCAAGGCCCCCTCAAAATCTGGCCATACACTGGCCCCAAAACTGGCCATAAACAGAATCTCTGCAGCACTGTAACATGTTCATAATGGCCCTAATGCCCACGTTGGAAGGTTGTGGGTTTACGGGAATGAGGGCAAGGAATCCAGGGCGGAAAACCACTTAAAGGCATTCTTAAGCCACAAGCAATAGCATGAGTGATCTGTGCCTTAAGGACATGCTTCTGCTGCAGTTAACTAGCCCAACCTATTCCTTTATTTCAGCCCATCCCTTCATTTCCCATAAGGGATACTTTTGGTTAATTTAATATCTATAGAAACAATGCTAATGACTGTCTTGCTGTTAATAAATATATGGGTAAATCTCTGTTTGGGGCTTTCAGCTCTGAAGGCTGTGAGACCCCTGATTTCCCACTTCACACCTCTATATTTCTGTGTGTGTGTCTTTAATTCCTCTAGCGCCGCTGGGTTAGGGTCTCCCCAACCGAGAACCAAGTTGGTCTCAGCAGCCAATGGAGATAGCCAGAAAGTGCTGGCTGCCTGAACTAACCGTGGCAAGTATTTTTATTTCAGTCTTTGGGGAAAGCTAGACTCACATCCTTCTGACCGCTGTTCCTCTTTAATATCCCTGCTCTCATTTTTGCAGTAGCGCACCAATGACTTTCACCATCAAGCACAAGTGTTTCCTGCAGAGCTGGGAGGCAAATCTGGCCATCTAGCTTCCTGGCTTCAGCTGATCCTCACAGGACTTGCCCAAAACCCTTGACTTACCTATTGCAACAGGACTCAGTGTGTCAGATACAACTTGCTAAGTCCTCAAATTATAATCAGCACTGTGTTACTGAAATATACTGCCTTGGGAATGGCACTATTTTAATTTTAAATCAGCCTTACAAATATAAGCTAACACATACTTTGTCTAAATGTAATATTTATTGACCAATGACCTGAACAATAACAACAACAACAACAACAAACAAGAAAACAATCCCATTTATGATAGCATCAAACAAGTAAAATAGGAATAAATCTAATGAAGGAAGTGAAAGACCTGTATACTGAAAGCTATACAATATTGATGAAGGAAATTAAAAGGATACAAATAAGTGCTTATGGATCAGAGTAATTAATATTGTTAAAATGGCCATACAACCTAAAGCAATATATATATTCAACACAATCCCTATCAAAATCCCAAAGACATTTTTTCTCAGAAATAGAAAAAGCAATTCTAAAATTTGTATTTATCCACCAAAGATCCTGAATACACAAAGCAATTCTGAGAGGAAAAACAAAGTTGAAGGCATCACACTTCCAGATTTAAAATCATATTACAAAGGTACAGTAATCAAAACAGTAGGATACTGGCATAAAAACAGAAACACAGAGCAGTGGAACAGAATGAAGAGTCCAGAAATAATTTCAAACATATATGGTCAACCAATTTTCAGCAAGGGCACCAAAAAGACACAATGGGGAAAGGATAATCTCTGCAATAAATGGTGCTAGGAAAGCTAGATTTCCACTTGCAAAAGAATGAAAATGGACTCTTATTTTACACCAGACACAAAACTCAACTCAAAATGCATAAGAGACCCAAAAGTGAGACTGAAATAATAAAACTCCTAAAAGAAAACATAGGAGAAAAGGTATTGATATTGGCCTTGGCAATGATTTATTGTATATCCCACCAAAAGCTCAGGCTACAAAAGCAAAAATAAATACATGGAACTACATCAAACTAAAAAGCTGCACAGTGAACGAAACAATAAATATGAAAGGCTGGCCGGGCATGGTGGCTTACACCTGCAATCCCAGAACTTTGGGAGGCTGAGGAAGGTGGATATCTTGAGGTCAGGAGTTCAAGACCAGCCTGGCCAACATGGTGAAACCCCATCTCTACTAAAAATACAAAAATTAGCCGGGCATTGTTGCGGTGCCTGTAATCCCGGCTACACAGGAGGCAGGAGAATCACTTGAACCTCGGAGGCAGAGGCTGCAGTGAGCTGAGATCATGCCACTGCACTCCAGTCTGGGTGACAAAGTGAGACTCTGTCTCAAAAAATAAAATATGAAACATTAACCTATACATAAAGTATTTGCAAACCATATGTCAGATAAGTGGTTAATATTCAAGATTTGTAAAGAACTCATACACTCTGGTAGCAGGAAAATATATAAGCTGATTACAAAATGGGCAACGGACTAGAATAGACATTTCTCCAAAGATGATATTAAAAATGGCCAACAGGTACATGAAAAGGTACTCAACATCCGTAATAATGAGGAAAATGCAAATAATAACCACCATGAGATACCACTTCACATTTGAGGACTGCTACTATCGAACAGACAACATAATAACTGTTGGTGAGGGTGTGAAGAAAAGGGAATGCTTTTGTACACTGTTTGTGGGAGTGTAGAATAGTGTAGTCATTATGAAAAACAATATGGAGGTTCCTAAATAAATTTAAAGTAGAACTGCCATATGATGCAGCAATCCTTCCCTTTCATATCCAATCACCACCTCATAAAGATGTCTGTACTGCCATGCTCATGGTAGCATTATTCACAATAGCCAAGATAGAGAAACAATCTAGGTATCCCAATAGAATATCATTCATCTGCAAAAGAGAAAGAGACCATGCCATTTGTCACAACATGGATGGATCTGGAGGACATTCTAAGTGAAATAAGCCAGACACAGAAAAATATTGCATGATCTCTCACTTATTTGTGGAATCTTTAAATAAAGATCAAATATTGGCCAGCCATGGTGTTTTATACCTATAATCCCAGCGATTTGGGAGGCCAAGGCGGGAGGACTGTTTGAGCCCAGGAGTTCAAGACCCCTGGGGTCAAGAAAGTGAGATCCCTTATCTCTATAAAAAAGTCAAATATATATATATTTGAGAGAGATATATATATATATCAGCCTTTCATATTTATTGTTTCATTCACTGTGCAGCTTTTTAGTTTGATGTAGTTCCATGTATTTATTTTTGCTTTTGTAGCCTCAGCTTTTGGTGTGATATACTATATATGTGTGTGTGTGTGTGTGTGTGTGTGTGTGTGTATAGAGAGAGAGAGAGAATAAAATAGTAGTTACTAGGATCAGGGTTGGGCAGTGGCAGGGAGAGAACAGGAAATGGTTAGCTATGGGTCAAAGGATACAACGTAGCAAATATGTAGGATGCGTAAGTGAAAAGATGTAATGTACAACATGAGGACTATAGTTAATAATAGTGTACTGCAGTCAGGATTTCTTCTAAATAAGTATCTTAAAGCTGCTCATGTCTTGGGTGGGGGGGACAAAAGGTAACTATGTGAGATGATAGATATGTCAATTTGTTCCACTGTAATAATTATTTTACTATATAGACGTATCTCTTAACATCATGTTGTATATCTTAGACATACACAAAGTTTACTTAAAATATTTAAAAAATAAATTAGAAAAAATATTTTTCTTTATTTAGAAGTTTAATATCACTATGGAAATTCAGTTGAACACACACACACACACACACACACACACACACACACACACACACACAGAGCAAACTCTGTTCTGGCCATGGAATATGGCATTATTATTTTATTCATTAAATCTATTTGGATCTCTACAGTGTCCCTGTCACAGTGCAGTGGACACAAAAGAAGTACTGGTAGGGCCCTCCCTCTTAAGAAGGAAAGAAAGAAGAAGAATGCTTTTTTAGCGCCATCTGCTCGCGGCGCCGCCCCTCCCCCCCGCCCCCCGCCGCCTGCGCAGCTCCGCCGCCTGCTCCCATACTACCGCCGATATTGGAGTTCTTACACATGGCAACATGACACAAGACAGTCTGAACCGATCAAGATGATGTTGAAGAAGTAGAAGAAGAGGAAACTGGTGAAGAAACAAAAATCAAAGCACGTCAGCTAACTGTTCAGATGATGCAAAATCCTCAGATTCTTGCAGCCCTTCAAGAAAGACTTGATGGTCTGGTAGAAACACCAACAGGATACATTGAAAGCCTGCCTAGGGTAGTTAAAAGACGAGTGAATGCTCTCAAAAACCTGCAAGTTAAATGTGCACAGATAGAAGCCAAATTCTATGAGGAAGTTCACGATCTTGAAAGGAAGTATGCTGTTCTCTATCAGCCTCTGTTTGATAAGCGATTTGAGATTATTAATGCAATTTATGAACCTACGGAAGAAGAATGTGAATGGAAACCAGATGAAGAAGATGAGATTTCGGAGGAGTTGAAAGAAAAGGCCAAGATCGAAGATGAGAAAAAGGATGAAGAAAAAGAAGACCCCAAAGGAATTCCTGAATTTTGGTTAACTGTTTTTAAGAATGTTGACTTGCTCAGTGATATGGTTCAGGAACATGATGAACCTATTCTGAAACACTTGAAAGATATTAAAGTGAAGTTCTCAGATGCTGGCCAGCCTATGAGTTTTGTCTTAGAATTTCACTTTGAACCCAATGAATATTTTACAAATGAAGTGCTGACAAAGACATATAGGATGAGGTCAGAACCAGATGATTCTGATCCCTTTTCTTTTGATGGACCAGAAATTATGGGTTGTACAGGGTGCCAGATAGATTGGAAAAAAGGAAAGAATGTCACTTTGAAAACCATTAAGAAGAAGCAGAAACACAAGGGACGTGGGACAGTTCGTACTGTGACTAAAACAGTTTCCAATGACTCTTTCTTTAATTTTTTTGCCCCTCCTGAAGTTCCTGAGAGTGGAGATCTGGATGATGATGCTGAAGCTATCCTTGCTGCAGACTTCGAAATTGGTCACTTTTTACGTGAGCGTATAATCCCGAGATCAGTGTTATATTTTACTGGAGAAGCTATTGAAGATGATGATGATGATTATGATGAAGAAGGTGAAGAAGCGGATGAGGAAGGGGAAGAAGAAGGAGATGAGGAAAATGATCCAGACTATGACCCAAAGAAGGATCAAAACCCAGCAGAGTGCAAGCAGCAGTGAAGCAGGATGTATGTGGCCTTGAGGATAACCTGCACTGTAATAGCCTAAACACAACTCTTATTTACTTACAGCCTTATGTTTTTGTATTTTCTTGGTAGACTAGGTAATTTTTTTTTAAAGGACAGGAAACTGATATTTTAAAGACCAATTTGTTCTACCTAGCATTTTAGCTAGTTTTTCTGCCAGATATGTTGAATGCACAAATTCTGTCACGCATGTTCATTCATTGCTACATAATTTGGTTCTTCTGGAATATTTTTATGTAGCTCTTGGAGTACAGCTATGAAAATTAACAACTGTTAAAGGAAATACCTTTTTTTTTTTTTTTCATGATTTTTTCCTTGAAGAACCAAAGTATTTTTTCAGCTGGTTGTTGAATAGGGTTAAGTCCGCTTGGATTAGCTGTGCCTTTCATTACTTTGTTACAGAAATGCAGTGACTTATACTAAGATAATGTATCGTTAAAAAAAAAATTGGCAAGACAACGATATGGTTAAGAATTTCCAGTATGACCACACCCAATAACTGTATTAGATTGTTAGTGGATTATTGTGTTTTAGGTGACATAGTTAACTGTAAAGTAACCTGGCTCAGTGTAGTTACTGGTACCACAGTGAGGTGAATAAAACGGGATTTTCAGAAGTTAGCCTGAATTTACCTGTACTTTTAAATTTAACCTCTATTAACTAAGCATCTTTTCTTTGTGGTAGGGTCTACCTTCTGCTTCCCTGAAAAGGATGAATTTACATCATTTGACAAGCCTATTTTCAAGTTATTTGTTGTTTGTTTGCTTGTTTCTGTTTTTGCAGCCTAAAATAAAAATTTCAAATACAATTTTAGTTCTTACAAGATAATGTCTTAATTTTGTACCAATTCAGGTAGAAGCAGAGACCTTCCTTGAATTAAGGGTTATACTCAGTTTTTACCACATTATTGAAGAAAAGGGTAACAGCTTTGGCATGAGATACTATACTAATAAGCAAGTGTAAAAAGAGAAAAAAGAAAATCTTAAGTGATTTGATGCATTTTTTTTTTTAAATTCATTTTCTTTGGGTTAGAGCTAGAGAGAAGGCCCCAAGCTTCTGTGGTTTCTTCTAATTCTTACTGCTTAAAGTATGAATATGTCACTTAAACCCATGCTTCTGTTTACTGTGTATTAAAATGGGTAGTACTGTTTACCTAACTACCTCATGGATGTGTTAAGGCATATTGAGTTAAATCTCATATAATGTTTCTCAATCTTGTTAAAAGCTCAAAATTTTGGGCCTATTTGTAACGCCAGTGTGACACTCAGCATTTTGTTCACACCACGCTTTGATAACTAAACTGGAAAACAAAGGTTAAGTACCTCTGTTCTGGATCTGGGCAGTCAGCACTCTTTTAGATCTTTGCGTGGCTCCTATTTTTATAGAAGTGGATGGATGCACTATTTCACAAGGTCCAATATTTTTTTTCAGATATTTTTGATGACTGTATTGTAGTAAATACTACAGGGATAGCACTATAGTATTGTCATGAGACTTAAAGTGGAAATAAGACTATTTTTGACAAAAGATGCCATTAAATTTCAGACTGTAGAGCCACATTTATAATACCTCAGGCTAATTACTGTTAATTTGGGGGTTGAACTTTTGATGACAGCGAGGGTGGATTATTGGATTGTCATTAGAGGAAGGTCTAGATTTCCTGCTCTTAATAAAATTACATTGAATTCATTTTTAGAGGTAGTGAAAACTTCCTTTTTGAGATGTTAGTGTTAAGGTCTTGGAATGTGAACACATTGTTTGTAGTGCTATCCATTCCTCTCCTGAGATTTTAACTTACTACTGGAAATCCTTAACCAATTGTAATAGCTTTTTTCTCTTTATTTTCAAAATTATTTCCTTTGCTTTGATTAGACACTATGTGCTTTTTTTTTTTTTAACTATAGTTCATCGAAATGCAGCTTTTCTAACTTTAAAGATAGAATCCCATTTTTAATGAACTGAAGTAGCAAAATCATCTTTTTCATTCTTTAGGAATAGCTATTGCAAAGTGAAGGTGTAGATAATACTAGTCTTGTTACATAATGGGATGTGTTTGCAGAAGAATTTTCTTAAGGATGTCAGTGTTGATGCCATTTTTCCAGTTCCAAAATGATTCCATTCCATTCTAGAAATTTGAAGTATGTAACTTGAAATCCTTAATAAAATTTGGATTTAATTTAAAAAAAAAAAAAAAAGAAAGAAGAAGAAATATTTACTGGATGGGTCTACTGTGCTAGGTGCTTTTACATAGATTATCTCTTTTAATCAAAATAGTCTGCAAGTTATGTTAGTTTTACAGACAAATAAATGCAGGCTTGAAGAGGTTAAGTATCTTGCAACTTGTAATTTGATCCAGGTCTATCTGGGTTAAGACTCCATGCTCTTATTTGTAATGATGCATGTAGCATATAGGAGACAGTTAGGGAGTAATACGAGTCAGTACACAATGAAGTATAAAAGTAAATACCAGTTGAGCATCCCAAACAAGAAAAAATCTGAAATCCCAAACACTTCTAGTCTCAATAATTTTGAGTAAGGGATACTCAACTTGTATAATCAATTGCTAAGACTTAAGGTATGAGCCTCTAATGCTTTAGGAGTTCCGTGGCAGGAAATTAATGTTTAATTATTACAGAAGATCTCAAGTCAGAAGACACAGAATTTAATTTTAAATCCTGGTAGGTGTGAAAGTTGTCAGAATCAAAATGGAGTCACTTGTGTTAAAAACAACCTTGAAAAATGGAGACAGAGAAGGTCATGAAGGAAGGATTCTCATGCACAAATGCCTGATAAAAATAATAAAAAAATTCTGCAAACCCCACAATTTTACACAAAGGCCATTGCTACTTGACACAAAAAATGCTTCTCGGGGGGTCATCTGCCAAGCAATTGCCCGTCCAACCTTGGACTGACATCAACCTTGTTATTGATCCTTGCAGCCAAGGATAATTATCTCAAAACAATTATGCAGATGGTGACATCAGCAAGATAGCTGTCTAGAAGTCCTTAGCACTTGTCCCCTCAACAAAGACAGGTAAAACAATGAAGAAATAATTACATTTTAATAAAAATAACTGAAGGAGGGCACTGGAGTACATCCAAACAATAACAGAAACTCTGGTGAGCACAGAAACTCAGGATGGTCACACAGAGAACAAAAGGAAACACTTGACTTCCATCACCCTATCCCCCAGCTAGGATAAGCTGGGAACCGGGAGGAACTTCTCTCTATAGGGAAAAAGTAAGCAAGAGAATTCCAGCAGCCCCTGTCAGCACCTTGGATACCTACAGTCCTTACCACTGGGATCTTCTGCAGCCCTCACAGGCACTTAAGGCTAGTTGAAGGAGCTACCTGGAGTCCATACAGCTCTCTTCCCTCTAGATAAGGAGCCCCACCCTCTGTGCCCACATGGCTACTGCCCTACACACCATCTTGGAAATGGAATTACTGCTGCAGTGTATCTTGCTCTGGGTGTGAGTAGCCATGGCAGCACTTCATTCCTGAGTCTAAACTGCTTTTGAATCATCCCTGCCCCATGGCTTGACATCCCTAAGCTGAGTTTTGAGCCACTGCTATACCTTTCCCCATCTGTTACCACTACACAGTGCCTCATCTCTAGGGACCCGAGTTGCTACCAAGCCCTACTGGTTCAGGTTTCCAAATTAAAACCATATCCTGTGCCCTGGGCAAAAACCTCCAGAGTATCCTTTATTCCTTGGAGTCAGGCCAGGGCTGTGCCCTGCCTCCCAGGGGCAGAATCACGGCTACAACCCAACCTCCTGGACCCAAGCTGCTAGGGGCACCGGAGAGTCACAGATACTGGCTCTATGAAAAACCTACCTCCAACGCTGCCACAGAGAGCAAATCTGCACCCCAATACCCAAGTGTCACAATAGGTTTGAGAGATCTTGAGCATAGAACCCTGGCCCCACAGTCATTCTGAGCATCTGCCTCTGTGACCAGTGCCACTGCAATTGCTTCTAGGCTGTGTCAGACCTGACATCAAGAAGGATCCTCTCAGCTAAGTGTCCCCATTGTGGGGAAAATAAGAATAGGAAGACCCCAGAAGCCCTTGCCACTGAGGATATTAACAATAAACACTGCCACTACAGCTACCACAAAGTCCTACAGCCTAAACCACTAAGGTGCCTACAGTTATTACTGATGTTCAACACAGTCAAAGAAGCTGCAGAGAGACTATAAAATGGCACCTACTTGGAAACAGTCACCACATCTTTCCCAACCAGCATACCAGGACCCAACTGTAGATAAGTCTTTTTCTATGAAAGTTACTCTAGAAAGTTTGGAAGAGGTGATTGTTCCACCAAATGCACAGACATGAATGCAGGGACACATGAAATATAAAAGAGCATGGAAGTTTAACATCACCAAAGGAACATAACTCTCTAGTAACAGACCCCAATAAAAAGTAAATCAATGAATTGATGGAAAAGGAATTAAAAATAATTATCTTAAGGAAACTCAATGATTTACTAGAAAATACAGATGCACAATTCAATAAAATCAGGAAAACAATTCACGATATGAATGAGAAGTACAACAGAGATATTTTAAAAACTAAACAGAAATCCTGCAGCTGAAGAATTCAATGAATGAAATAAAAAATGCAATAGAGAGCTTAAACAGCAGACTTGATAAAACGGAACAAAGAACTTCTGGCTGAGCACAGTGGCTCATGCCTGTAATCTCAGCACTTTGGGAGACCGAGGCAGGCAAATTACCTGAGGTCAGGAGTTCAAGACCAGCCTGGCCAACATGGCGAAACCCCATCTCTACTAAAAATACAAAAATTAGCTGGGCATGGTGGGCTCCTGTAATCCCAGCTTCTCGGGAGGCTTAGGCAGGAGAATAGCTTGAACCCGGGAGGTGGAGGTTGCAGTAAGCCAAGATCGCACGCCATTGCCCTCCAGCCTGGGTGACAGAGTGAGACATTGTCTCAAAAGAAAAAAAGAAAAAAAAGAAAAAAAGAAAGAACCTCTGAACTTAACTTGAATATAGGCCGTTATAAATTAGACAGAGAAAAAAAAAAAGAATGAAGACTGAAGACAGCCTACAAGACTTATGGGACACCATTAAGTGAACAAATATTTTTATTCTGGAAGTTTCAGAAAGAGAAGATGTTGTAAAGGGTGTAAAAAAACCTATTTAATGACATAATAGCTAGAAACTTCCCAAGTCTGAGGGGAGATATGGACATTCAAATCCAGGAAACTCAAAAGTCCCAAATAGATTCAATCAAAAAAGTCCTCTCCAAAGTACACTATAGTCAAATTATCAAAAATCAAAGACAAAGAGAGATTTTAAAAAACAGTAAGAGAAAAGCATAAAGCTACTTATAAGGGAATCCCTATTAGAGGTACAGCAGATTTCTCAGGAGAAACCTTAGAGACCAGAAGAGAATGAGATGACATATTCAAAGTATGGGAAAAACTTGTCAGACAAGAATACAATATCCAACAAAGCTACCGTTCAGAAATGAGGGAGAAATAAAGTCTTTCCCAGACAACCAAAAACTGAGGAAATTTAATAACACTAGACTGGCCTCACAAGAAATGCTCAAGGGAGCTCTGTACCTGGAAGCAAAAAGATCACCATCATTATTATGAAAAAACATGAAAGTATAAAACTCACTGGTGGAATAGATACACCAAAGAGAAAGAAAAGAATCAAAGCTTATCACTACAAAAAACACACCAAACCACAATAACAATAAATAAGAAAGCAAGAAAAGAACAAAGGATATGCAAAAACCCCAGAAAACAGTATACTGAAGAGATATAGCACTTCCAAA